TCTTAAATGATGAGAGGAGAAACTGAAAATTCTCAGGTTATTATTATTTATTTATCACTGTTTCCTTTGAAAAAAAGAATATGTGAAACAAATGGGAAACCTATTAAGTCTTATCTGATAATTTCCAAATGACTTAAAAGAATGTACTCTGTCTTCTCTGCATCCGTTTGGGCTTTTCACTGAAGTTTTTCTTGAAGACTGAAAATGTCATCTTCTTACCAAGAGCTGGTTTCTCTCTTAAGAGTTTGACTTTCTCCTAAAGCTCTTCACTGCTGCATAACTAAAAAATAATTTTTTTCCAGTTACATTTTGTGGTTTACACTTCATTAGGCCACATCCTCATCTCCTGAACATGTCCCATTTGCATAGCTCATCTACAACTACGTAAATACTATCAGAGGCTCATTACTGTTACATATATAAATATTACAGGGTTTTGATTCAAACTGACACAAACACAGAAGACATTGGACTGCAACTGTGAATGCAGTGTTCTTTGCCCAGTTCCACCTAGCAGCCTTAATTAGAAAAAATAAATACTCTCCAAAAGGGTAAAGACTAACTTCAGAGGGGTTTCAGATGCTGGTACAAAAATGGCATATTGACTCATGGTCCATGCAGGATCCATAATTGCCTCCCAGCACGTGCAGAAGACAGGAGATACAAAAAGATGCAGAAGTGGGAAGCTTTTTTTTTTCCTCTTAAAAATGTTCATACATTCTAAAGTCAAATATGAATATTCTGTATAAAACTTCCAGGATTTTGGATTTTTAACCAGGATCTCATTAGCCAGCTCTTGTGAACAGAGAGAAAAATAACGCTAGAAGGATCCAGCTGGCCAGACAGAGGGTTTAGATTATCCACAGCACAAAGGACCTGGCCTGTTCCTACTGATCTGTGCTCACGTCTCTGTGCTGTGCCGCTTTCCATCTCTGGTTACCGCAGAAATGCAGATGGTTCTACTGAATGAGCCTGAAGTTCCACCTCACACTGTTTCTTAACAGTGAACTTGGTTATGAGCACCAATATCTGACATTACCTGGTGGAACTTCTTGCATGTTTTTGACAATGGTTGAAGGTCATCAGCATCTAGAAATGACAGTATGTGTATAATTATGTTCTCAGGCATTTGGGCGAG